CACCCACCCCCCAACCCCACCCCTTCCCGGCCACCTCCCCCTTGTCACCATCTCCACTTCCCCCATCCCACCACCAGAATGGAAAATACCTCCTGGAGTGGGGGTAGGGGGGTGGGCCACCATGAATTTTTTTTTTTTTTTAATGTGTTTCAGAACTAGGCAAAGGATCTGTCAAATTGAATGCATTTCAGGGACAGAACCTTCAGTGAACAGCTTCAGAGGATCTGATAATCCTTCTGACCTCCAGGGGCACCAGGCCTACATGTTGTGCACAGTAAAACAAGCAGGCAAAGCAACAAGAGCTTTTTAGGTCCAGCCCCAAATAACCTTCTCTTAGGGTCTGCAGGAGAATCTACAACCAGCTGGAAATCTAATCTTTGGAATATTAAAGAATCCACATACACTGTGCTTTCAGTCCATTTTCTTCATTGTTCTAAGTAAGCTAATTCTAAATCTACAGCTTCTGTTCAACTCTCTCCTCCATTTCTCCCCTGTCCTCTTTGTTCTAGCTTAGTTCTTAGATGTGGCCTCATTCCTGCTGAGCTACTCCTGGCCTGTCTCCAGAGTAGCACCTAGCCCTAATCCAGCTTTTGTTTAACCAATACCTTTTGTTTCTCTTGTCACCCTATGTGAATCTTGTTTCTGAGTCTCCCAAGGATACAAAGGCCTATGTAAAACTTCCTTCAGGAAACCCGGAAAACTGTGATACCTGATAAATGGAGGAATTTGCACTTGGCATTGTATTTCTGGGAGCTCCTTCAGGTTGTTTTGAGTATAAGGAAATCAACTTGCTAAAGTGTAAATATTGAGAAAAATAAAAATGCCCTGGGCAAAGGGAAAGTGCTTCAATCCTTAGAGACTGGAACCCCCTGCAGCCATGAAAGGCTAAATTCATTCTTAAGGTGCCTTTGAGTCTTCTTTCTATGGATCCTTGTGAAACCACACACCTGTGCCACAATTCATGACACTTAGTTCTACTTTTTTTTTTTTTTCTGCTCTCATTCTTAGCTCCTCTCTTGCCTGACTCCTCATATTTCTAACAGGAGACTCCTTGCCATCCTGAGAAGTTTCAAAACTCTCAAGGTCATAGCACATTTCCAGAATAGATGATAAGGAACAGAGTCATTACCATAGTAACACAAGGTTCCAAGGTTTCAGGACTAGAGGGAGGGGGGGCAGTGCTCAGTGCCACAAACTCTGAGACACAGCTTTTTATCAGCAGACTTGGCAGGTGAAGAATTGGCAGGCTTTTCTTAGGGTGTTTTGTGTTAGACACCTGTGGCTTTGACCTATTGTATAACTGTAAAGTTTTAAACTTAGGATCCATATCAAAAGGGCTTTAGTCTAGTTTGAATTTGCTCTGAGGTAAAAATGAGCTAAACGTGTGCAGTTTGTGTTAGACTGAGGAGAAATTATTATTCTCTGTGTTAGTCTGAGCAAATAGAACAAAGCGGGCTCTAAGTGTCTACAGTATCACGGGAAAATGGATCTGGCTATGAATCATATCCTAGTATATTTTCTATATATCAAATTATACAGATAAATGAAAAGTTATCTTCCTGACCACCCACAGATGTATGTGCCCATAGATTGAGATGTAGTCATGAGATTACATATATACATTTTATGAAAATGCATGGTAATGGGAAGATATCATAGCTGTTATTGCATAAGAAGTTTACAACAAGAAACAGCCAATTCATTCAAAAGGCAGTTATTCCAAAACGCCTTGCATGATGGTTTCCTCCACCAGAATCCTTGGTTCTGACAGGATGATCTTCTGAACACTAGTTGTCACTTGCTGTATACTCCCATGGCCTTTTGCTACCAGCAGCTCTCAGTAGCAAAACACACGTACACATTAAAAGAAATAAGAAGCTTTTACTAGAGTAACATTTGGAGAATTTTATTTTGGCATAAACTCTGTGATATTTCCTAAGATTTAAACCTCATTAAAGGCTTTCACAAGTTTCTTGTCTTTATGTTTCTATTATATATACTGTTGTGATTTGTAAGGAGAAAATAGCAAATAAATGCTATATCACATTATTTACAATGCTATTTTTCATTCTAGTATGTATTTTCTGAAGTCTTCTAAGTCTTGCAATATGTATATAGAATATGTCATAGTTTGCGTTTGTAAGGTTTCTTTCCAGTATGAATTTTCTGATGTGCTCTAAGATATTCACACCTAGTAAAAGATTTGTGACATTCCTTACAACTGTAAGGTCTCTCTCCAGTATGAACTCTCTGATGTCTTCTAAGATGTGAGTCCCGGGTAAAGGACTTGTCACATTCCTTACATCTGTAAGGTTTCTCTCCAGTATGAACTCTCTGATGTCTTTTAAGATGTGAGCAATTTGTAAAGGATTTGTCACATTCCTTACATTTGTAAGGTTTCTCTCCAGTATGTAATTTCTGATGGCTATGAAATGCTGACAGCTGAGGAAATGACTTTCCACATTCTTTGCATTTGTAAGGTTTCTCCCCAGTATGAAGTCTTTGATGTATTTTAAGACTTGAACTCTGGGTAAAGGATTTTTCACAAACGTTGCACTTGTAGGGTTTAATTCCAGTATGAATTCTCTGATGTACACTGAGATACCAGGCAGTCTTGAAGCATTTCCCACATTTCCCACACTGGTGTGGTGTCTCTCCAATGTAGATTGGTTGTTGCAAAAGACTGTATGTAGAGCTGAAATAGTCATCATATTCTCCCTGCCTGTGCTCTTTCTTTGCAGTGTACAGTCTCTGATCCTGAGTAATATTGGAACACAAATTTAAAGATTTCTCACAGTTTTTAGATTTGCAAGGTTCTTCTCCAGTGTGCATGCTTTCATGTTTATCTGGATGAGATGAGTCAATAGAGGCATGCCTGTGATTGTTGTTGCATCTTGAGTTATTAGAGTTTTCTATAGTTTCACCTGTTTTATGAGGTGCACTTGTGGAGGGGTCATAAAGCACTTTGCCAAGCTCAGTACACTGACAAGACTCTGTTTCAGTCTTCACATGTTGATGGACAGAATGACATTTGCAATAGCTCTCTGAAAATAAGTACAATTCAGATTAATAGGACTTGTTACAATAATAAACATGTGACAAATGACTGTCTCCCTAAGTTCACTTTTAAGATAAATGAACCTGGAACTATTTAGATTAGAACTCCCAATAATGGACATTTTTCATTCATTTTAATTATATGGATTCTCATAAAAACAGCATGACAGCCTCCAAAGGTCAGTGATTTATAACAGATATCTCATCTTTTTTAAAAATCTCTAACTGGGAAAAAGATGTAAAAAAGAATTGAAAGCCAAGGATTAGCTTTGGGGGCTGGAGAGATGGCTCAGGGGTTAAGAGCACTGGTTGCTCTTGCAGAGGTTCTGAGTTCAATTCCCAGCAACCACATGGCGGCTCACAAACATCTGCAATGAGATCTGGTGCCCTCTTTTGGCCTGCAGGCATAAATGCAGGCAGAACACTATAATAAATAAATAAACCTTTGGAAAAAAAAAGAATTAGCTTTGGGATAGAGCTGACTGAGTGATTACATTTAGAATACATGTCTCTATCTTTAAATATTTCTTCTCAGAAATTAATGCAGAGTAGTTTAATCTAATCCTAGGTTATACTAAGTGATACTGTTCAGAAGACCCAATTCCTTTCAAGATTAAAGTCTTACTTAAAAGCATCAAAGGGTTTATTTTTCTATCTAGAAAAGCACACTAGATTCTTCAAATGTAATGGATGCAAAGACAGAATTCTAGAAGACATCAGAGACTCTAGATCGTTTGAGGCAGGGCTGTCATGGGCATCTATTGCTTATTTCTAACCTCCACTGTCTCCACACACTGCTATATATTTCTTAACTTTCCTCATAGGATTATTCTCAAGTCCACTTTATATACCGACCCCTGGGATTATTTCCCAGAAGGGTATCTGTGTATTCTCCACTGGGAAGAAAATGAAGGATATAATATGAAGATATACATATAAGGAATGCAATTACAGAATAATCCTACTTCATGAACTCATGTTAGACTTAAATTTTGTAAAATTATTTCAATCTGATTTCAGCAGAATCAAATAAAACTCATTTTGTACTAGTATTAAGTCACCATAGTTCAAGTGCAATAGGCACAATCCTTCTAACAGCTATTACAACAGACTGATAAATCCTGGAGCCAGGCACTACACTAAGTTAAATGATCGGGAATCCTTTCAACTGGAATTGAATATCACAAAACCATTCTCAGCTCTTGCTTTCTCTTTCACCTGAAGCCTTCACTGTTCTCCTGTTCATTCACGAGCCCACCCTAGTTGTGGCTACTCTCTCCTCTCCACATTCCAGGGCAATCTCATTCTTTCCAGACAGGTGATCACGCCTACCTCTAATACATAATCCACATGTTCTTTGAGGCAGCCCATGACCCATGCTAGAACTTTTAGAAAGAATACAGGAGTCTTAAGACTGTACTGAGCTCAGTACATGAAAACAAAAAGCAGAGGAATTTAGGCAAGATTTTTTGATTGATATCTGTTGTCAAAGTCTTCAGTATATTTAGTATTTTCAGTGTGTATATCTTTGAATTTTTTTCACAACTAAAATCATATCAATTGCAATAATGGACATAGAGCTTAAAGATATGAGTGGAAATATTATATGCTACTGAGCTTATGGATGAATCTTGGAACCAAAATGAAGGGTGGATAACACCTCTGGAATGGGAAATGGAAAGAGAAAACTAAATAGCATAAAAAAGTTTTTGCCTACTACTAAATTTTGCCTTATCTCCTGTATCTTTTTCAGGACAGATGAACAGATTTTTACATCCTATGAAGTCAACAAACAAAAGATGGGTTAGGAATTCTACAAGCAAAATATTCTCACCCACAAAGACCAGGTTGTTGTAATTCTCCAACATCACATCAATGTACAAAGACTGCTGAGCAAAGTCCAGGCATTCCCACTCCTCCTGGGGGAAGTCCACAGCTACATCCCTGAATGTCAACAGACCCTGAAACAAAGAAGTATGGTTTGACCATTTGTTACCTGGATGTGCTTTCCTAGATATAAGGAGATGGAATGTAGGTGAGCTAAGGTAATTACTCAAAAAGATGATTTCTAATACAGTCATTCTCTCACGAATGTTCTAACTCTGTGAAAACAGGATAAAACAATAGTCTTACAAGCAGTATACATGAAACAAGAAATACATTTAAGGTCTGCACACAGTTATCTATCTTTTATTGGATACTGTGTTTATGTTACACAGGATCACAGCAGACATGTCTCAGAAGGAAAATTCATGAGGAAATGTGCTTTAAATGCTGTTCCTATAGATCATGCTAAAACCCAAAACAGTCCTGTGTATATTTAGGCCTTACATGACTCTATTCTAACAGGCTCAGTTGTGATGTTTAAACTCTAGGTACAATGCTATTCCATTAAATAGCAAGGGGTAGGGATAGGAGACAGAATATAGGACTGATTTTATAGCCCAAAATTTAGTTTTTTTTCCACCCTAACAAGAATTGTAACAGCACTGTATACTGTCATTTTAACATTAACATATAAGAGAAGTAGTCTATTGAATTAATTTTATGAGAATATTTGGGCCACTAAGAACAGATAAAAAAAATCTGCATCAGACATATTTGCTATAATCCAAAATTTTCCTAATAATATGCATAAGCCAATAGAGACAAATAACAATTTCAGAAGTTTTGAAGAATATGTCACTACACTCCCAAAGAGCAATAAAAATTGAGGGAAGTCCAAAAACACATCAGAAAATGTTTAAGGTATAGCTGTATCAGTGACATTTTGGATACGGCTCATAGCAAGAATTAACTAAATACCGAGGAAATAAAACTGCAAGTCAATAAATGGTCAAATGAACGAAATAGACACTTTTTAAAGACAGGACCTCAAATGGCCAATAAACATTGCAAAAGTGTTCAGGATCCCAAAAAGGCCACCATGGAAACAAAAATTAAAACTACTCAGAAATACTGCCTCACCCTAGGTAGAATGGCTGTCATCAACTAACCTGACAGTAAATTTTCCAGGGGATATGGAGAGAAAGAAGACCTTTTTCACTGTTGATGAAGGGATGGTACAAATTAATACAACCATTGTGGGAATCAGTTTGGAGATAATGAAAAAACTGAAGCGAGAAGTAACAGATGACCCAGTTCTTTCACTCCTGGCCGTATACTCAGAGAACAACACATCCCACTACGAGATAGTTATACCCCATGTTTACTTGTGTTTTAATCACCAAAGGAAAAGTACTGGAATCAGAATAATTATTTATCAACAGATGAATGAATAATGAAAACTGAATAAAATGGAGAACAACTCAGGTGAAGAGAAAAAAAATATAAGAATCTGGAGGAAAATGGATGGACCCAAAAATGTATAATATTAAGTGCAGTCATACACTTTTAGAAAGGAGACACCACATTTTCATTCATATGCAGAGTCTACCCAATAATATATGTATATAGAAACAATGTATATGTGGACACAATATAACATGGAGAACTCCGAGAGAACAGGAAAAGTTAAATTATCAGGGTCTGAATGCGGATAATGAACACCAGTTATGGAAAAGGATATAAAACTAAGTTCTTTTCTAGTTCTAATTCTGTCAAAGGTTTTTGGGGTTTTGGTGGTAGATAAGGAAATCACAATATATTTGACTGTGAAAATACAAAATCCCATGTGAGGCTCCAGAGCTTCTGTTCCCTATGATGACTCTAACTGTATAAAAGGACATTGAGTTGCATAGTCTTTGGGTCTGCTTAATTTCAGTGTGTGATTTTGTTGTTTGTCTCTCTGCAGAATTACTCATAATAAATTTTTTTAAAATTATCAGAAGCAGAAAATTAAAGGCCTTTGATACATCGAAGTATAACAGATTTAGATAAAGAGTGGAAACAACCACTGACCTGCGACATGTTTACTGGAGAATCAGCCATTTCTTACTGTTTCTCTTCTTTGAATTTCTCTTTCAGGAACAATTAATAGATGGACACTTCCCTTTCAAATCAAGGGGTCAAAATAGAAGAGTTAAAATTAATACTAAAAGCTGTTAGAGAACAATGTCAAACCACATGAAAAGACCCAAGCAATAGAATTCTACCAGGTGTCCAGTCAATGATCCCAAAACCAGGAAGGAGAGCATGGAAAGACATTTGAAGCTTGAAGAGAAAATCACCATCAAGTATCCAGTAGCACAAAGTAAACGACTCTCTTAAAATTGATGGGGACATAAGTGCATTTCAAGATAGTCACCAATTAACACAATTGATTTCACTAAAGCAGCACTCGGGTAATAAATCAGAGGCAAAACATACACAGGAGTGACAGAGAATCATCCATGAGAACATGGGAAATAATAAATTTCATGTAAAGAAGAGAGAAATACAGGAGAACTGGAGAGTAATCATCAATGGGCAAGACAACAAACTACTATTTCTCAAAAAGAAGGAAGAATACTACCAATAAGCCAACCAGCAACAACATAAACAAAACCATAGGAAATAAAAATGCCATAAACAAAAAAACTCGCCATACTGAAAATCAAACTAGACAATCCTCAAGTAAACAAACCCTGAAGTTAAATAAATTCAGCACATGACCCAGCTGTTCCATTCCTTTGTACAAGCTCAAAGACTTGACATCCTGCTCCACAGACACTTCCTCACCCATGTTCATTGCTGCTCTACTTACAATATCTACAAAATGGAAACAACCTAAATGTCCTTCAACTGACAAATAGATAAGTGAAAGTGTGGCACATATACGCTGTGGAATACTCTTCAGCTGTAAAGAAAATTAAAATCCTGAGCTCTGCAGGTAAATAGATTGACTTACGAAAGATCATATTGAGTGAGGTAACCTGGCCCCAGAAAGAAACAATGCATGATCTCTATCAGAGAAGTTCCCAGCTACAAATCTTCAGATGTGCGTACGCAACTTGGAGTGACTGTAGTAACCAGAAAAGTGAAAAGAGATCACTGTTGGGTGTGGGTGAGTAATAGAGATGGAGTAACAGGGACCAAGTGATCTGAAGGAGGAAATGGAAAAACAAGGTTGAGGATTTAACTAGGCAGAAGGGATAGATATGAACACAGAAGAAGGAAGATAAAATAACAGTAAGGATGTCTGGAAAATTCATAAGGAATCCATCTATTCCTTGATTCTTATCCATCCATCAAAAAATGCCTATAATACATCTGTCTCTGTAAGAGACACTTTTAAGTATAAACGAAAATCTCCCAAATGAACTGATGATTCTCCTCAGAAGAGCCATAGAATTTCTAACAAAATGACCAACACCAGGTGTAAGAAGCCTGCTTTGAAGTTGTTGGTCACACTTGTCCAAGAGACTTCCAAATATTACAAAGTATTGCTGTTGCCCATGGTTTCCTCCTAGAAGTAGTTGAGTCCCTAATGTTGAAGAAGCCACATATTACAGACACAAATCCAAGAGAACTCCAGCTGGACATGACCTCAACGCCTCCTCCCTGGGGACTAGCTTTCATGGTATCAGAAGGCAACATGCAACTTTCCAAAGGTGGGAGCCAGTCAACAGTCCTGCCCAGCTATGATGCCTATGAACCACAACAATGATCTGCACTGCATGATAGCCCTAACGGTGTAAGAGTGGTACACAGACCTTGGTGGTAATCAACAGCTTCTAATTGGATTAAGACCCTCTCAACCAGAGAGAAATCATGGCTGGTACTGGAAACCTAGCCTATTTCCCCAGGGCTAGTAAAGGCATGGATCTTGGAGGAGAAACTACAACCAGTACTTTACTAAATCAGCATAAGTCCCTACTGCATTCTAAATATTGATCCTTATTGCCAACAGACAATACAAGACAGTATAGATGGAGTTTAGCAGGCTGTAAATATACTTGCTGATTCTTATCAAAACACTGTTGGCATTATTTTCAGGAATGGAGACATTAACCTAAAAAGATAGAGAATGTGCTAGAATACCAAAAGCTCAAAAACTCTGAATATAATAACCAACCGTAAAGGTATTAATTTTCATTACTTTTATAATATATTAAAATCAAAGAAATAAAAATGATTTAATAATGGCATGAAAACATGATCAGTGATGTGAATGAGTAAGGACAGCGTCACTCACATGCATAGTCAAATAAAATTGTATTTGACTCCATTATCAATTCTTCTGTAGAAAGTCTGCTCATTAGGATAATCCTGAGGAGATTTTTCTCAGTGGGAGTCTCCAGAATTATTTCTAGTGAAACAGAATGTAGCAAAACTGATTTTATATCCCACTTCCACATTCACTTGATCCCCTTTCCACTCCTTCACCATCGTCTCCACCATACCTGGATTCTTAGCTACTGTCTCCTCTCTCCTTCCAGGCCACTTTGTTCTGCAGCACAGGTGAGCAGGTCATGTGATCAGTGAGCCCTGCACATGGGAAAGAGATTGTTCAGGAAGCACCTGGATTTCTAACACAGGACTGTGCTCAGGAGATGAAGAAAAAACTAAAAACAGGATTATAGAAATGATTCCCCAACTGTCCTGCAGGGTCAGAATACAGAAAACAATTAGAAAGCATTTTTAGTTATAGTAACTTGAATCCCACTTCCAGTCACAGCTCGGTTAAAACTCGGGCAGAAATCGTACTGAATGATTTGGGGAGAGAATATTATATACTAGTGAGGTTCTGTATTGATCATGGACCAATAGTGATGAAGCCTTACACCTCCCAAAGGGACACACACAAAGAAGAGAGAACATTTCATGGAAATTTTCTTTTTTCCTTTGAGGATTTCACTTTATTCTATGGGATGTGAGACTCATCCACACAAAGCTCACACACTGGCAGATTAATTTGTCAAGAGATACTGAGGGAGACTGCAAGCAAATAATTCTCAGCCACAGAAACCATTCTGCTGCAATTCTGCAACATCCAGTGCTAGTACAAAGCCTTCAGGGCAGGATCCAGGCATTGCCCCTCCTCCCGGGAGAAGTCTACAGTCACACCACTGGCTGTCCACAGAGCACAAAGGAAAAAAAAAAGTTTGAATCATCCTGTTGGTGCACACCTTTAATCCTAGCATTTGAGAGAAACAGGTGGGTGGAATTCTGTGTTTTACAGTCCAGCCTGGTCTACATGGTGAGTTCTGGGCTAGACAGAGTAACACTGTGAGTTCAGGTCTCAAACACAGAAAACACAAGAACCAAAAAAAAAAAAAAAAAAAAAAAAAATCACAGTTTGGTCATGTGTCCATGGACAGAGTGTTTTTCTTGGACTAAGGAGACAAAAGACTATTGTAGACATTTTTTCTGATATAGATGACTTATTGTAATTATTCAAAGGGTGTTTTCTAATATAATTCTACATTATAATGCATTCAAATATCTTTTTGTTGTTGTTTTATATTTTCCCCTGAAACAGGCTTTTTCTGTGTAGTGCTGGCTGTTCCTGAAGTCACTATGTATACATTGCCAGCCTCCAACAGACTGCATCCACCTGCCTCTGCCTTCTGAGGATTAAAGGCATGGGCGACCAGGTCTGGCAAAGACACTTTTCAGAATGCTGTATTTACAACCCAGTGTGCATATGTCTCAGATGGAAAATTAATGGTAGATAAAAGTTTACTTTTGAAAGTTAATGCTTACAAGTATATTGTGGAACTCGCAAAAAAAATGTACTTTCAGATTCAATGAAATTTGCAGGCGTTCCTTTCATGACTATTATCTAAATCTCAGCGAATCCAACTCTCCGGGTAAATGTGCCACGCTCTTGAGTAGGGAAATGATACAACACGGAAGTTAGTATGGATGATTGTAAACTTCAAGAGCTTTGTCGTTTCCATCATTGCAAAGAGAATCGTGCTTGCAAATCTTAACAGATACATTCAAATATCCGATTAGATTATTTTTACAAGAATGTTTTAGCAATCAGAAGATTAATTGAAAGCAAAAAACAGGCTTATTCCATATGATTTAAAACACACCATAGGGAAAGACATCCACAGCAGAACTACAGATCCGGCTTCCTTATGAACAGCAGAGAAACTGCTCGCACCCCGGTCCCTCCCCTCCCGTGTCCCAGCCCCGCAGCTCCTCTGACCTGGGAGGTTCCAGGGCCGCCGGGCTGCGGTTCCCGCCACTGCGCTGCTGACTGGTGACTTTCCTAGGCCGCCCCGCGCGGCGACTGCGGCTCCGGGGAGGTTTCGTGTCCCCGCGACACCCCGCCGTGTCCTCCTCACCCGGGTCTGCACCATGAGAATCCCCACCGTGCCAGCCCCCAAGCAACGACAGGGATGGGCATTCGGTACTGCTGGCTTTGGTTCCTCTCCAACTTCCCCGGCTCACATTGTGTCCCAGTTTTCGTTTACTTCAGTCCTCCAACCCCTCCCACGCTTTCGCTTCCTTTACACCCAGCCAATGGGCCACATCTTCCCAACAGCTGTTTCCTGCTGTGTGTCCCCGCCTCTGTGAGCCCGGTCCCTCCCACTCGGTCTCAGGCTGCCTTCCACACAGCTCCAGCTGTCAGGCTGCCCTGGACCTGCTCTGCACAGCCTCCCCACATGCTTGCTGCCAGCCTAGACCAGAACTGCATCTATGAGAACGCTGCACCCGGATATCTGAGCCCCACAGTGAGTCTGAACCCTTCGGATAAAAGACAGGCAGCCAAACCTCAACTTGACTACCAGCCTCCTGGTCTACAACTTACACAAAACGATAATAGGCTAAATTAAGATGCCAGCGTCCCATCTCCAACACAAACCTGACAAGCCAACTCAAAATACTGCAACTGTGCCTTGGGGAGAGACATTTCGGGAACTTGGGTTTTGAAATGAAATAGGTGTCTCCAGAAGTTGGTGGTCTGCCCATTGCTAACAGCCCAGTGCTGAGTTCGTTCCGCGCTGTACCGCTCTCACCACTAGATGGTGGTCTTGTCATTAAACTAACTCAAACAAGTTCGTTTGGGAGTAACGCTAATGGCGCTTTTACATAAAATATAAGAAAAAAAAATTTCACTGCAGTGGTGAATGCAAGAGACTATTGGCTGCCCGGATGCAGAAAATAAGGTGTGTGATCCAAACCCTAAAAACGCCAGTTACAGCATCCCATCTGTGGTTCTGGGAACACTGGGAGGAGGACAAGAAAAGGGAATAAGAAGGGAAAGGGGAGGAAGGAGTCCATACAGTTATTGTAATCAGTAACCAACAGAAACTGTACTGACCTGCGTTGACCTCACACTAGACCACAATCAGTCTAGGAAAGGGAAAGGCTCGCAGGGCACACCCTTTACGCCTCAAATGTTGGCAATGGATGGATTATAGAAGAATCACTGCCTTTAGCTGTAGTCCTCTGCTGAGCCAACCAGGATCCAGCACATAGCTCCAAACCCACAGTCTCAATGTGGCCCTGGTCAATCTCAGTGTGTCCCAAGCAAAATGAATGGAGATGAACACAACAGAGAGATTAGTTGGAATTGTGGAGCAGGATAGCAGAGAGGTAGGAAGTGAGAATGGACAATATTTGAGGCACATACACAGAGTGTGTCTATATAATGGTGTGTGTGTGACAGACCAAGAGACACACACAAAGAGAACTAATAATAGAATTTTTAAATTCTTTTTTATTAAGATATTTTCTATTCATTTTACATACCAACCACAGATTCCCCAGTCCTCCCTCCTCCCGCCCCCAGCCTCCCCCCCAACCCACCCTCCATTCCCGCCTCCTCCAAGGCAAGGTCTCCCCTGAGGAGTCAGCAGAGCCTGGTACATTCAGTTGAGGCAGGTCCAAGCCCCTCATCCCTGCACCAAGATTGCACAAAGTGTCTCACCATAGGCACTAGGCTCCAAAAAGTCAACTCATGCACTAGGGACAGGTCCTGATCCCACTGCCTGGGGGCCCCCCTAAACAGTTCAAGCTAAACAACTGTCTTGCTTACCCAGAGGGTCTAGTGCTGTGGGATGTTCTGTATGGCAAATGCGTTGCTCTGATTGGTCAATAAATAAAATACTGATTGGCCAGTGACTAGGCAGGAAGTATAGACGGGACTAACAGAGAGGAGAAAAGAAAGAACAGGAAGGCAGAAGGAGTCACTGCCAGGACAAGCAGCATGTGAAGATGCTGGTAAGCCACGAGCCACGTGGCAAGGTATAGATTTACGGAAATGGATTAATTTAAGCTGTAAGAACAGTTAGCAAGAAGCCTGCCACAGCCATACAGTTTGTAAGCAATATAAGTCTCTGTGTTTACTTGGTTGGGTCTGAGCAGCTGTGGAACTGGCGGGGTGACAAAGATTTGTCCTGACTGTGGGCCAGGCAGGAAAACTCTAGCTACAGTCTAGTCCAGTTCCATGGGGGTTCCATAGCTATTGGTTCACAGTTCATGCGTTTCCACTAGTTTGACTAGTTGTCTCTGTGCTTTTTCCAATCATGGTCTCAATATCTCTTGCTCATATAATCCTCCTCTCTCTCATCAACTAGACTTCTGGAGCTCCACTTGGGACCCGGCTGTGGATCTCTGCATCTGCTTCCATCAGTCACTGGATGAGGGCTGTATGATGACAGTTAGGGTATTCAACCATCTGATCACCAGAGTAGGTCAGTTCAGGCACCCTCTTGACTATTGCCAGTAGACTATGGTGGAGTCATCCTTGTGGATTCCTGGGAACAGCCCCTAACACTCTGCTTCTCCCTATTCTCAAGGTGTCTTGATTTATCATGGTATCTCTTTCCTTGCTTTCCCACCATGCTCCCGTTCCAGCTCGAACCTCCCACTCCTCTAAGCTCTCATCCCCCGTTCTTTGTCCTTCATTACCCTCCTCACCCTCAGTTTGCTCATGTAGATCTCATCCACTTCTCCATCATTGGGCAATCCATGCGCTCTTTCTAGGGTCTTCCTAACTAGGTAGCTTCCCTGGAGCCATGGATTGAAGTCTGGTCATCTTTTGCTTTATATCTAGTATCCACTTATGAGTGAGCACATACCATGTTTGTCCTTCTGAGTATGGGTTACCTCACTCAGGATGATATTTTCTAGTTCTATCCATTTGCCTGCAAACCTCATGATGTCATTGTTTTTCTCTGTGGAGTAGTACTCCATTGTATATATGTACCACATTTTCTTTATCCATTCTTCAGTTGAGGGGCATCTAGGTTGTTTCCAGGTACTGGCTATTACGAATAATGCTTCAATGAACATAGTTGAACATGTGTCCTTGTGGCATGATTGAGCATTCCTTGGGTATATGTCCAAGAGTGGTATAGCTGGGTCTTGAGGAAGATTGATTCCCCATTTTCTGAGAAATTGCCATACTGATTTCCAAAGTGGCTGTACAAGTTTGCATTCCCACCAACAGTGGAGGAATGTTGCCCTTGCTCCACATCCTCTCCAACATAAGCTTTTTGATCTTAGCCATTCTGACAGGTGTAAGATGGTCACATACATAGCCCAGAGATGGATAAATAGATGAGATCTACATGAGAAAAATGGAAGTGTGTGTGTGTGTGTGTGTGTGTGTGTGTGTGTGTGTGTGTGTGTGTGTGTGTAGGGGGGTAATGGACAAGGAATGGAAGATGAGAACATAAGAAAATGGGAGGTTTGAGCTGGAACAGGTGTAGCATGAATCTTAAAGAGTCTTATTAATAAAATCAAACCTGAAGCCAGGTATTGGGGTGAATGCTGGAAGATCAGAGAAGCAGAACAAGCCACAGCTACCTCACCTAGCCAGATCTTCAGCTGATCCTGTTTCCTCAGACTGGATGCCTCTGAGTCCTCATTCAGAATGAATCTCAGCTGAACTGCTGCTTAAAAGCCTGAAAGCTTAACCAGCCAAATGCTTCTAGTTTCTGGTCTCCACGCCTTATATATCTTTCTGTTTTTGCCATCACTCCCTGGGATTAAAGGCTCACTTCTTGGGATTAAAGACATGTGTCACCATGCCTGGATGTTTCCAATGTGGCCTTGAACTCACAGAGATCCAGAAGGATTTCTGCCTCTGGAATGCTGGGATTAAAGGTGTGTGACACCACTGCCTGTCTTCTATGTTTAATATTGTTGCTGTCCTGTTCTCTGACCCCAGGTAAGTTTATTAGGGTGCACAATATTTTGGGGAACACAATACCACCACAATCAGGACAGAGTGGGAAAGCAAGGAAAGAGATACCATGATAAATCAAGACACCTTGAGAATAGGGAGAAGCAGAGTGTTAGGGGCTGTTCCCAGGAATCCACAAGGATGACTCCACCATAGACTATTGGCAATAGTTGAGAGGGTACCTGAGCTGGCATACTTTAGTAATCAGATGGCTGAATACCCTAACTGTCATCATATAGCCCTCATCCAGTGACCGATGGAAGCAGATGCAGAGATCCATGTCCCGGTGCCAGGCAGAGCCGCAGGAGTCCAATTGATGAGAGAGAGGAGGAATTTTATGAGAAAGAGACATCAAGATCATGATGGGAAAGTGTACAGAGATGACCAGCCAAACTAGTGGAAACCTATGAACTATGGACCAATACCTGTGGAACCCCCATGAGACTGGACTAGGCCCTCTGAATATGCAAGACTATTGTTTAGCTTGGGGCACCCCCAGTTAGGGGGATCAGGATCCATCCCTGGTGAATGAGCGGATTTTTTGGAGCCCAATGCCTAAGATGTGACACTGTGCAACCTTGGTGCAGGGAGGAGGGCCTTGGACCT